TTTAACTGTCGCCCCCAGAGAAGTCGGTTTGTGAGCTATCCAGCTTTACAGACGCGCCTGGACATCTCCCGGGATTGGTGCAGGTGTGCACGGGTCTTATGTCTAGGAAACTCTACACTAAAGTCTAGTAGTCTCTCTAGATTCGGGAAGGGTTAGGACTGCTCCTAGGTAATTCTTCGACTATCTAGTAATAACTACAAAGCATGTGTGTAGGTACAGTCGTGCTGTGGGTAGTTTGCTGGATATCCAGATCTTTTCTAGTGTCATTCGTTGAACAGTAAGGCCGTGGGCCATAGTGACGAGAGGTGCATCCTCTTCGAACTACCGACTGTAGCGAGAGTCCTTGAGTGCATGATATATACGTGCTCGTACAAATATTCGCCTCTCATCATATACTCGTTGTAATAGTGACATGTTGCATCTGATGAGAGAAGATGCACGGACTGCCGTGAGATCTTTTCTGCGCACTCTATGTGCTCGCTAGTGTTCCAGGTACATGGCGCGCATCCGCAAGAGTATCAGTGTACCTCAATCTGACATACTGTAGCTACGTTGTGGGCAAGTACTCGTACCCAAGGCATGTAGAATAACCTCTTCCGTCTCTACAAGTTCAGATATGCGAATCATCCGAACGGTTCCTCCGGTACGTCCGTAACCTGCAGATGCCGAACGATCAGTATATGTCATGCTCGGTATGGACGAGGTAGTTTAGGCTCAATGGATTGGCCATGGGGTGATTCTGGATCTTAACACACCGTCCTTTCCGAGACTCTGGCATGATCTCCGATGCGATCGCCGTGCATTCAAGTCGTTGGCTAGGTCTCGTGTGCAACTCAGACCCAAATGTGTATCGGCTTAAAAATCTTCATGTTGAAAGATGGCGACTGCACACAGCGGTGTGATATACGCCTTTGATAATGTGGAGAGCCGGAACGTGAGCACTAACACTGCCGCTTGACAGTGGCCGAAAGCTGACGTTCGAGAACGGCAAGGAACAGGTAGTCACTCCATGCGGCGTGTGCCTACGGAATAGGTAAGTGCATAGGGGGGCGGGGTCACTTGTAGGGTGCAAACAGATTGTTCTCGGTATCATATACGTGCGCCGTTTGCCAACATAGCCATCGATGTTGGTTTGCTGACAAGACGATATTGAGCAGTCTTGGTAAAGGCACAGGACGCCGGACAGGAAGGTTGCTGGGTAACGGACAAGTTCTTCGCTAGTCCTACACACCTGCCCTCAAACGTCGGGACGTGAGAAGACGACCGGCCACGCGCGCTGAATGAGGCCAGCGAGCGGGCGTGTGGTCCAATGTGAACATCGACTCACGCTCTGTAGCTGACCGAGACACGAAAGATGTTAAGGAACGGAGCCGATAGGGGCGTGGCTCGCAGTGGCTTATTGGCTTGGCGACACTGTTTAGAGTGTTGGGTGCCGTGACGGCGAGACAGTTGCAGCGACTTCCAGGCTATACCTCCGGCACTAACGCACTGCGCAACGAGTCCACCTCCATGTTCAACAGGACAACACAATCTACATCATCATCCGCGCCATGGAGGGGCAACGCAACTTCCAACGCTTGCCAGAAAGTTACGTTGACAGCGCTGCTCCTCGCGACATGCCCTGTAGCGGCTGCATTCTGGCGCTGTAGTGTGAGCCTTGTTGCCGCGCAGGGGGCAGGCTTTGGCGAAGGCGTTGGGGACCGCGCCGCCAGAGACAACCGCGTCCCGTTTTTTCTGGCCAGAACGTCGCTCGATTTGGCTGCGTTTTATTGCATTGTACAAACCAGTGCATATCCAGCCTATCATAGTCATTCCGCTCACAGACCGTGATTCGGTCGAAAGCTTCTATTACCCGAATCGCGTGCCAGTCATCAGCCGAAGAAACGAGTTTTGCTTGCACGGGGCCGTCGTGGCTTGTTAGCTGCTAGCAGGCCAGGCATGGGCGCCGGTGGCTTGAAGGATTCGCTGCTTGCATGGCAATCATCATAAGGGCCGGCCGCTCCTCATGCTTGGACACGTTCTGGCTGCTAAATAAATCGACGAAAGGCTGTTCGTGCCGTTCTTCTGGCTGCGATCGACATTGATAAGCAAGTCCCCCCAGCTGGCCGTCACTCTTTGCCTTTTCCTAGTCACCACCGTTACCCTACCCCTGACGGCCCGCAAAAAGCCCTCGGACACTTGCTGAACCACTGCAAGGTACCCGAATCTGAGGTTGGACGAAGTACCTAGGCAGTCATTGACAGTGGCGGCAAACCTCCTTGTCACAGCAACGGTACCTACGTACGGCCATGGGTATCCGGATTCCGAGGAAATTCTGCGGTTAATAATAGCATCCTCGACTGCTATAGTACCGTTTATTGGAGATGAGTCCTCAATGTTTCGAATGCGAGTCGGTAGCGATCCTGTCGCACCATGCTCCCCTGCCAACGCGGAGGAGGCAACACGAAAACCGCTGCCGCGGTGTCCCCTTATATCTTCGAGTGTCACCACGCATCGGCCGACAGTTTCGCGCGCTGCTTCTGCTGCTCGTCATATCTCTATCCTGCAGTTCCCAGGCTGCCCCCGTATCCGCAACGGAAGCCTATGGTGATCGACCGGCCCTGCTCGTCGAAGACGACCTTGCCTGGACAGGATCGGCGTTATACCTGGATCTCAGCCCACCACCCACCGCGTCGCGATTGATGCCTCCTCTAAAACGCGACGACGATGTTACCCGCACACCCTCTGCAACTCTTTCGGAACGCGCCATTACAACAGACTCTGATGGCTCTGGCACCGGATTCAAAGTCCCCACGGCATTCGATACTGGCCTATCAAATAATTTCACAAACTCATGCGCAAACTTCCTTAATCGCCTACGTCAGAGTCAGGCATTCAACGACTGCCACCCATTCTCCTTGCTATTGCAGGTATGGTACTTCAATAATACGAGAGAGAAGAGTGTGGCTAATCAGTACCATGCAGACGTCAAGCGGTTTCTTCGACGCCTCCAAATCTACACTACGCATCACACAGACTCTCGATGCAACCTGTGGAGTAAACGCAGCACAATGCAAACCTACCCTGGATAATTTCGCAGTGGAGCTGCTATCGGAAATGGCATGCAAAGCCGATTACGACACCGACAATCCCCTGGTGCTACAGGCTTACAATGGCCTCGTTGCATACCAACCGTCTTACCAAGCAAGCTGTTTGCATGATGACGAGGGAAATTATTGCTTTGCGAACGCCGTCAGCAACATGTCATCACCGGGAGATGCCTACCCATACTACCTACCCATTGGCCAAGAACTTCCCGGCGGATCAAGGCCAACCTGCAACTCGTGTTTGCAACAAGCAATGGGTGTATTTGCCACGTACAGCAACAACGCAACACAACCTCTTTCAAAAACCTATACCTCGGCCGCTCAGCAAATATCAATAGCATGCGGCTCGACGTTTGTCAACGTCACGGCCGCCCCACTCAAAGGGGCTGCATCGACGACGACCACCACCACAATCACACCCACGATAAGCTTGATCTTAATGTTTTTACTTTACTTCTTCCAGTGATGGAGCGATACCCTATACATTCTATACTTGTAAATACTTTACCTTAGTTATTATTGATATCAGGATCGACTGGTCATTAGCGACGGCGCTTGGGAGGATTCTTTTTTGGCCGTCTTGGATTGTTGCAAACCTGGCGGGATAGTCATGGGGTCCTCTGGCCCATAACGTTGGCTTTTGCCGCGATCCGGCCTGTCGAGGCACGACGAGACACTTGGACGTGTACACAGTTCGCCATGAGTGAGGCGTCTTTTCTGTACACCAATAACATTGCACAGACTGTGATCGAATGATCAAAAGTCAGCTACGCACAAAGCAGTTTTTTGAACTCGTTTCACGAATACCAGTATCGAGGGCTTGATTAGTGATTGGCTGTGAGTCTGTCGGTGTAATATGAAGGGCCATGGCGCAACCCATGAGCCTGGGATTCTTGGTCACCGATGCCACATACCCAGGTAATCTATCCGTCACGATCGCGCCTTTGGGTCCGCTCCCGCTGACGATTTGCCTATACCCTGTCCCCGTTGTTGTCATTTCGTTTCGGCCGACGCACTTGTTTCCGAAGAGAAGGAAATTACAGCATAGCGCGCGATGGATATGGTGACTCCATGTAAGGCGGACAAGGACAATATGTGGATCTGCGAACGTCACACGTCAGCGCATGTCCGGCTGTGGGTTTGATCACCTGCTCGGCATGTCTTCTCGATCTCCTCCGAACAAGCCTGAAACGTGGCGGACCCTGGTCACGTGGTGATCAGCCTTGCGGGGTGCCGTGATTTGACAGAAAGCGGTCGCCTGGGACGTTACACATCAACGTTGTGCTTCAGCTTCCCGTTGTCGGACCTTTTGTACAACGTCGATAACATGCACTTGATTTGCGCTATGGACTTGATTGCGTCCATGTCAAGACCGGCTGTGGTAAGGAATTGCCAGGTCGGCCGGCATGCCCCGTGGACCAATTCAGCAGAACAACGTTGGTTTCCCGCGCCGCGGTGGAGCTGTGGACTGTCCTGTCATCTCCAACGCCCTCCATCCTTGCATGGATGATCCGCGCAGCCCTTGGTCGTCAGCTGTGCCAGGCCAGCCTCTTCCTGGCTCTTATGTCAAACACTTCATGCGTTTGAAAGGCCCGACCAGTCTTCTGCCAGCCGTGTCCCATGCACTTTCTTGTACCTGAGACGTCCAGCTTCGCCGCGAGAGTTTGCTATGCGTGTCCCTTCCACTCCTCTCATTCCCTCATGACTTGTACTAATTGACAAAGTCGATATTAATCGGGCAGGCCTGTCTCTTCATCTTGCTTCACGGCATAGTCACTCTCTTTGTTGCCACCACGCTCCTTAGACACATTCATTATCGACGTCTCCTCGAATACTTTTCATACATCCGACACCGTTCCTTGACCGCTACCTCCACTTGAACTAATACACGACATTCCATATCTCGACCCTACGATGGCCGACGTCATGGCTCAACAAAGCATGTTATCTGCGCCTGCATCCAGACAAGACATCGTCAGCGCACTACTTAACGACTATGGCAACTCTTTTGGCCGAGGCGACGCATCTCCTTCAACGTGGTCGCCCGTACCTGCGGACAAAAAGCTTCCTGCGCCGCCGTCACGATCAGATAGCGTCGCACGTGAACCGCTTCCAGCTGCGATGAGAATGGAAGCAAAGTTTCAGTTGAGAGGTAAGCAGAGATCACACAAATTCTATTATAATGGATTGCATCCGTGTTTGGTTATTCATCAAGAGCTCGCTGGTACAGACTGTGTGTCATATTGCAACCTCGATTCCGCATGCCAATGTGCTGTATGCGTGGTGATACATCATCGTTGCTTTGTCGTCGCTCAGAGAGCCGCATGGACAAAGCCATGATATCATATACCTGGGCGAATGGTGCTAACAGAGAACAGATGACCAAGACGCACCTGTTCTCCCAAGGAGTCCGGTGCCAGGCTCCCCACCTCGACCAAGGAGGAGGATCGAGTCACGTAGCCTATCTCGCGAATCTAAGCCAGCATCTCTCAAGCTTACCATCAGCAACGGTTCAACAGCGACTGTGCCCCCTACCCCAGCATTCCCAGCACGATCAGAGTCTCTCCCTTCTTCAGCAATAGAGGAGAAAGATCTTCCACCTCCACCACCTGCAAAGTCCGAGAGGCGGAAGTCGGTTAAGCAGTCTGATGCGGGAAGCCAATCGTCAAGGCCAGCGACGGATCTCGCGAGAAACGATTCGCTTCTTTCCCAAGGCGAAAGCAGAGACTCTACGGAGACGTCTACTACAACCACATCATCGGTTATTGGGCGCAAAGCAGTACCAGACCAAGGTCTCAAAAAGTTCAAAAGTCTGGCAGAACTGAATAATGGACCGCGAGGAAGGAAGGGCGCTCCAATGCCCCCCACATCAGCGCCCAGAACCTTGAGCGTCGATAGCCAGCGATCAGATGCTGTCTCAAGGAAAGGCAGTGTCGACAGTCAAGCAAACATGCCCGAGGCTGCCGCACCTCAGCCCGCCGAAAAGCTACGAAAGACGGAAGCAGAGCTCCCACCGACACCGGAGGAAGAACAAGACACCAGGGTCCCTGCACCACCTAAGAAAGTCTTCACGGGTCTTCCCTCAAACCCTCGTATCAAAGCCCCGGCATCGCCCCTTCACTTCCGCGGCAAAAGCAGCACAGGCTTCAATGTCTTGAAGGTATATATTTGCCTCCCCTTTCCCTCTCCAGTACTTGTACGATAGTTGTCGTACTGCGTTGCAATGTTCGCAAACTCAAGGGTACCTGGATCCTGTTCCAAAAGAAGAATACTGTTTGCTGACTGAGATCTCGTAGGCAATGAGGCCGGCTCCTCCAATCCCCACGATGGAATTGCACACCATTACGCCTGAGATGACACCTTCCCCGACGTTGAAGCCAGTCCTAGCAAAGAAGGATGCTGAGATCTCTCCGGTTTCCCCACTGCCACCACCAAAAGATGAGAGGCGGCCTTTTAGCTTCGAACCTGCTGTTGCCACCACTGAGACCCAGCAAAAGTCAACAGAGCAGGAAGAATACCTCGCAATGTCGGAATTACCACTTCAAAGCACCACTCCACCAGCTGAGACCCGACTACCCATGCGCACCACATCACTAGACCCACCCGAACCATCCCCGGGCTTCCAACGACCCACAAGTGCCCCATCATCCCGCCCAACATCATCCGACCTCCAAGATTACAACCTCTCCCCCTTCCCAGGACCTTCCGTTCCAACATCACCCGTTGACGGCTTGCGCACAGAGCCCACAACGCCACCCACACCGCCTCCCTTCGAGCCCCTAACCCGCCGACCAATCCCTTTGCCCGTGTCTTACATTCCACGTATCACGCCCGCACAACTCTCCTGCTACACAAGACATTGCCACAACATCTGGTCTAACAATATATTCCAGCCCATGGGCTGCATGGTGTGCCATGAGAACGACAAAGATAGGAAGTGGGCGTGTACGTGGTGTCAGTTGCGGATTTGCCGTAGCTGTAGTGAGGATCTGAGGGCGATTCCAGGCAGAGACTTGGGAACGCTGATACAGAAGAGAGAGAAGGGGGAGGTCATGGCGCCGGGAATGAAGCTCAAGGAAGACAGGTTTACGATGGTTGTTGAGGACATTGATGGGGAGGAAAGGGGAGAGGGAATGGATAGTGAAGGTGTTGCGTAAGGTTTCTTTGGGTTTGGGTTGGGTGTCCGGTTGTCTTCTTCCCACGCGCAGTACAGGCGCGCATCGGATGGATGAATTGCTTCATCACATGATATCACATTTACGCAACGTTGGAGTTGGATGGGAAGTTATACCTAGAATGCTGCGCATCGTTTAGCTAGCTTGGCGGCCTTCACGGCAAACTTGATTACCGTATTGACTCAATGGTATCTTGCCGAGCCAGTGTTGACTTCGTCATCTTTCGTACATGTTCTACTTCGTCTCCTTCATCTCCTGCAGTATCCTCACAACCTGGGGTAGAACCTTCTCCGCATTCTCACTTAAGCGCGCAGCTTCCCGGCCAGTATTGGTGTCCGCGACGTTTCCAAAGAAGGTTTCCTCGCCCCGGACACCACCCATGTTGAGTATCCCAATCGGCATCTGCATGTCCTTTGCTTTCTTCACTAGCCGCCAGGCAGAGTACGTCGCAAGACTACTTCCAATGACGAGTATCCTGCCTGCTGCATCGACTGCCTCTTCCGCAGCGACTTTTGTGGCAGCGGGTATAGACTCGCCGAACATGATGACAGCAGGCTTCAGCACTCCGCCTTCGCTCGCCGGGTCCCAGGCGCCATCCTTGTCGACTTGTACGTGGACCTTGCCTCCGTCTGCGCGCTTTGGCGGCTTCTCCAAGCACGTCGGACACGGAGGGTATCGGAATGTGGTGTACGGGGCGTTGGGCACGTCGACGTCACCATCTGGGTTCGACTTGAGCCCTTTCTTGCGGCGCTCGTCGGGGTTCTCGGTGTCTAGGGCGCCCGATTCGATCATCTCGGCGAGGAAAGCGGCCCAGGAGGGGTTCAGGGTGGTGAGTTGGCTCTGGAAAGCCCGGCGCGAATATTCGTTGCGACAGGTGAGGCAGACGAGGTTGCGCAGGTAGCCGTGTAGCTCGATGGTGGAGAGGTCGGGGTGCGCCGTTGGGTGGAACGAGTCTACGTCTGCTCAACTCGTTAGCATGCTGTGACGTTTGCCAGGGAGAACCTACTCTGCGTGATGATACTTCCAGCAACACCCATACGCCCCAACTCGCCACAAGCCTCGTGGGCCTTGTTTGGCTTGGCCTTCTCTAGGTTCGTCCAGCCGAGGAAACTCCTCGCCCAATACCTCTTCCTCGCTTCGTGGCTGTCACAGAACTCGTGAAAGTAGACGGGCCGGTACGTCTTGTTCAGTGTGTAGGTGCCATTTGTGCCTCTGTAATCGGCCAAGCCAGACGCTACCGAGATACCTGCCCCCGTAAGCAGCAGCGTCTTGCCCGCATGCTCGCCCCGACCAAGCCGAGTCGAGAAGCTCGATTGCGCCGCCCTCGAAGGCGCACCGGACGTGGACAGGGACGGCGACAAGAAGTCGACCAAAGCCGCGATGGCACCGCTCGCCGTCGTCGCGCTCGCGGGAATCAGCTTAGGTGCCGGGAGGGGATCGGTATAGGGAACGCGAAGCAGAGGGGCTCGGGGCATCGCGCAATCGCACACGCTCAAACATTGTAATTTCTCGCGTCCACCTTCGCAGAAGCCAAAGGGCGGATTGGGGGCCAGCAAGCGCGCGTGCGGCCAAAACGGTGGTTATGTCATGATACGTTTTTAGCGCGGCACCATCGAGGTCCGGGGCCCGAGATGGATTGCTAGCCCGCGCGTGCGCACGAGTTTGTCGCGTGGTAAGCCGACGGATAGCTATCGTGCCGCTGCAGGAATACGTATATTTGGGGGCTGCAAGGTGCTGCGAGTTTGTATTGGGAGTTTGCGGGGTGGGGTAGAATATAGGTGCAGTGTGAGGCTGAGTGCATGTGGGGGGCTGTGCTGTAGCTGTCACAACAACGGCTCAAACTTGAGAATGAAGCGCTCGATGAGGGCTACTGTCATGACTCGTGGGCGATCACAAAATCGATGCAGCCGAGTCTCTGTGATTGCTGGTAGGCTGAGATATGTTCAGTAACGGATCGGACTTGCTCCGGATGTGTGACAGTATGACAGCCATTGCGAACCATGGCCGCGACGTGGAATAAAGGGATGAAAAATGTAACATTGACAAGAAATATATGGCTACATCATCGATAAGGGCCCTCTCCATGCCCAAGTGTTACCATGAAAAGCATGTACTGGAAACTTCGAAAATGAAAAACGCCAATTAAGCCTTCCTCGCATACCCGGTCCAGATGGGAATGAATGTCCGGCTCCTCCTTCCTGATTACAGTCCTCCGTGCGAATGTCGTAGGTTCAAGGGGTATAAGGTGACTGCCAGTACGACTGGCTATAATCCATCATCGAGGTGATGCGTGCCTGAGAAAGCCACCAGAGAGGTTGCCCGTGGTATCGACTGTCTTCAATGGGGGGGTATTGGGACAAAAAGAGACTGCTTGCCGCTTTTAAGGTAAGCTGAGAGTTCGTAGCGATCGTGACAACGAGATGTAAAACAGATATGAGACATTGAGAAAGAGTCAGCCGGCTGGCAATGACACTGCGAGATTATTGCTGATGCGGGAGGTGATGCGAAGCGTATTGCATGGGCTGCTGCATAGTCTGCTGCATCGGTGGTTGCATTTGCTGTTGCATTTGTTGTTGCATCGGCTGTTGCATGTGATGTGGGTGTTGTGGCATTGGCTGCAGCATAGACTGGATGCTCGGTACCCGTTGCTGATGTTGGTGTTGATGTAACGGGTAGCTTGGGTATGCGGAGTAATGATTTTCGGGAATCGTAGACATGCTATGCATTTCCACATGGGGATCCTCTTGTTCTTCTTCCAGGTCAGAAATGCCTACGCCACTATCTTCATGGTCGTGGTAGGTACCATTCTCGAGCTTCTTTTGTGCCGACCTAAAGGCCTGAGTGAGGTTCTTGAGACCCTTCTCCATGCACTGAGTAGAGTCAACACCAGGTGCTCCAAAGAGTACGAAATCACGCATGACATACCTTTGTCTCTACCAATTGCCATTTCTCTCCAACTCGGGCAGCCAACATGCTCCACATGTCCCTTCGAACTTCCATATAGGCTTGCGCTAGTACGTCCAGCTTCACGCCGTCCCACTGCTCCGCATTTTGCCTCTCCATCAACCGTTCGTGCCGTTTGCGACAGGCATTTGGCGTCTTGGAAGGGAAGTGCTTCGGTCCAATCTGGTTCCAGTTGAGGCCTTGAGCCCTGGCCTGAATGAGCGTCTCATCATCTCTAGCGGACCAAGAGGAACTGCGAGTTCCGCCTGCGGCCGATGCGGTCGACACGGAAAGGCGGTGCGCCGGGCCCTTTTCAATCTTAGGCATGTTGACCAGTTGAATGAAAAGACTAGTAGGACAAGAAAGTGATGACGAGAATGGAGATAGGAAAGACGCGGCGAGGAGGAAGATGAGAGCAATGGAAGCGACCGAGTAGCGTATTATGATTAGGGGAGTGTTGGCGTAGGCGAACGAGAGTGACGGATGAGGAACGACAGGTAGGAGATATCCTTGCGAGTAGAAATGAAACAACTGCTGTTCGTACCTTTGGGTCTGTATTGTCTGAGGCTCTATCAAGGGGGCATGGCCAACATCTTTATACAGTGAGCCGCATACAGAGCCTCCATCCACGACAAAGACCAGTAGGCCACTCGGAGAATTGTTTTGAAACCAGGACATGTTTCTGTAATCGCCGGATCGATCTTCATCTACCGAGAACGGCATGTGCGACTAGGCGAAGAGGAGGCTGTTCACTGGGTCGTGGCTCCAAGCGCCATGAAAAGGGACCAGGGCAGGCCCAAATTGGGCCTGTGAATGGCCGAAGCACAAACCGTGAGCGGTTCGTCCCTCGAACAAGGAAGGGGGACTATAGCGGAAGCGCCTGTTTGAGAATATCCCACTGTGTTCCCTGATGCGGCTGTGTCTAAGAATATCCCCGCTGGCGAGTGGTGGAGGGGCAGCGATGGAGGGGAAAGGGCGGCTAATCTGATTCGGCGAGCGCATAAGTAGGGCCCAAATAAAGACCTTGGCAAGCGACACAAGGGCAAGGGGTGCCTCATCTGGTCGAACACCTGTAGGATGTCGTAGTCATCAATAATCAGTAGGGCTGAGCTCGGGGACCTGCAGATAGATGCATGTGCAGAAACGTGGAGTGGAAGGTCAGCAACCCGTTCCAAAGACGTTTTCGAAACGGCGCACTGAGCTCAGGGAGTTCAAGGGAACCTTGGAGGGCTTGAGAATAGCCGACCTCAAGACGCAAAAAGAATATGCGGCCGCCCGATAGCCCGCGAGGCGCTCACGACAGGCGCGGCCACTGGATGGGCGAGTGTGGGTTGTGGGTCTCAGCAAACACGAATTCACATCACAGCGGGACCGCGGGAAGAACCGAAAGCACGTTCTGTCCAAGGCTCCCATGAGAAGCGCCCGCGAACTGCTGCCGGCCGTTGCTGTGCCTCTGACGAACTGGAGCTTTGGAGATCAATGCCTGACGTGCTGTAGCAGTGTTTCGCAAGTGCGGTACCGCGTCGCTTGCAGCTGCATCGGATTCGACGGCACCTGCAACGCAGACCTGTGTGGGTGCAGCAATGCCGCGCTTTACTATGTAGGTATTCTAAGTAAGGGCATAGCCAAGCCGTAGATGACTAGAAAATGCGTTTCGGTAGTGCATCATACAAAGAATTTCTCGGTTCGACAAGCGGTCATGTCGTACCAGAGAAGCGTTCGTCTGACGCTGCAGCGTGCCCAGGTGGCCTTTCACACAGCCCCAACCTCGGCATCCGAACTCACCAGAATCGATAAACAGCATGCACCAAGCCTCCTCACCCCAACATCGTCACTCATTGCAATTCATTCACCATTAAACCGCGGAAAGAGCACTCCGCACCGTGTGCCCGGAGAATAGCAATAAACATTCTGGATCGAAGTTGGGTATGGTCCATTAAGAATAGCAACTGCTCAGTACCCCAACGAATGTGTTTCGGTACCCACCCAGCTGGTCACTCTGTTGAACCAACTGTCGTGTGCCCCGATGGTCCCGAGGT